GCTCAATCTGTGAATGCAGTGGATGCATGGAAGCATTCAGAATTTATGTGCCACAACTATGTGTTGAATGGCCTGGCTGATGCACTTTACAATGTTTATTGTAAAGTTGCAACTGCTAAAGAACTATGGGAATCTTTGGAAAGGAAGTATAAGACAGAAGATGCTGGAACTAAGAAGCATGTTGTTGCTAAGTTCTTGGAATACAAAATGGTTGACTCGAAATCTGTTATGAGTCAAGTCCAAGACCTTCAGGTCATCATACATGATAACAATGCAGAAGGGATGGATCTTAATGAATCATTCCAAGTTGCATCAATGGTTGAAAAGCTCCCTCCTGGTTGGATAGACTTCAAAAATTACCTTAAGCATAAGCGAAAGGAGATGTCTGTGGAGGAACTGGTGGTGCGTCTTCGCATTGAAGAAGACAATAGAATGGCCTTGAAGAAAGGCAGTGAAGGTGAATCTTCTAAGGTTCATATGGTGGAAGCTGGTCAAACTTCCAAAAGCAAAGGCAAGGGACCTCACAAAGGGAAAGCAAAGGGCAAAAACCTAGGCCCCAAGGTAGGAACTTTCAAGAAGAAGTTCAAGTGCTACAACTGTGGCCAACCGGGTCACAAGGCTTCGGAGTGCCCTCAACCTAAGAGGGAAAACCGTCAAGCAAACATGGTGAATGATAACATGGAGTTGGTGGCCATGATAACTGATCTCACGGCTATGGTTTCTGAAGTGAATCTCATGAATACAAATTCAAAGGAGTGGTGGATTGACACAGGAGCTACTCGTCATGTGTGTCATGACAAGAGTGTTTTTCAACACCTACAAAGAAGTTGAAGATGGTGAAAAGCTCTACATGGGAAATGCAGCTACCGCGGATATCAAAGGTGTTGGTGATGTCATTCTAAAAATGACTTCGGGGAAAGAAGTGAAGCTTAGGGATGTATTGTATGTTCCTGAACTTCGTAAGAATCTAGTGTCCGGTGGTTTGTTGAACCAATTTGGTTTTAAGCTAGTGTTTGAGTCGGACAAGTTTGTTTTGTCCAAGAATTGTATGTTTGTGGGAAAAGGATATGCCTTGAATGGCATGTTCAAATTGAATGTAATGGTGACAAACAAAATGAATAATGAAAGTTCTAGTTCTGCTTATTTGCTTGAGTGTTCAAATGTTTGGCATGGTCGCTTAGGACATGTAAATTACAATTCAATTAAGCGACTAATTAAACTAGAATACATACCAAAACTTAATATTGACTCAAATCACAAATGCCCCACATGTGTTGAAGCCAAACAAACTAGATTGTCTTTCCAAACAATCAAAAGAAACACCGAACCTCTTGATTTAATTCACACTGATGTGTGTGATCTAAAGTCAATTCCTACTCAAGGTGGGAACAAATACTTCATTACATTCCTCGATGATAGCACGAAATATTGCTACATATATTTACTTAAGAGTAAAGATGAAGCAATAGACAAGTTTGTCTTGTACAAAAATGAAGTTGAGAATCAACTCAACAAGAGAATTAAAGTGGTTAGAAGTGATAGGGGTGGGGAATATGTTTCTCCATATGCTGATTTTTGTGCTAAAAACGGAATTCGTCATGAATTCACATCACCCTATTCACCTCAATCCAATGGGATTTCTGAAAGAAAGAACCGTACCTTGAAAGAAATGGTCAATGCCATGATAATTAGTTCGGGTGTAAACCAGTCAATGTGGGGGGAAGCTATTTTGTCGGCTAACTATCTTTTAAATAAGATACCTCGCAAAGAAAAGAATGAAACACCGTATGAACTTTGGATGGGAAGAAAGCCATCGTATCAGTACTTAAGAGTGTGGGGGTGCCTAGCTAAAGTTGTAGTGCCACCACCTAAGGTACAAAAGTTAGGGCCTAAAACAGTGGATTGTGTATTCATTGGGTATGAACCTTTAGTGCTTATCGGTTTCTTGTGCATGATTCTAAGAATCCTGAAATACACAAGAATACCATAATGGAATCAAGGAATGCTTCATTCTTTGAAGATGTGTTTCCCTGTTTGAACAAGGAAGTTGAAAGCCCATCTTTACCAAACAACGAAGCTGTTCGAGAGGAAGAACAAGCTCAATCCGAGGAGGAAGAGATAGAACCCAGAAGAAGTAAGAGGGCTAGAGTTGAAAAATCATTTGGTGATGATTTCTTCACCTATGTGGTGGAAAGTGAACCTAAAACCTACCAAGAGGCGGTAACTTCTTCTGAGGGACCTCAATGGAAAGAAGCCATCAAAAATGAGGTAGAATCTATCTTACAAAATCACACAAGGGAACTAGTGGATCTACCTCCAGGTAGCAAGCCACTAGGTTACCGTTGGATTTTTAAGAGAAAGATGAAACCTGATGGCAGTATTGATAAATACAAGGCAAGACTAGTAATCAAAGGTTATAGACAAAAGGAAGGTCTAGACTACTTTGATACCTATTCGCCGGTAACGCGGATAACATCCATTAGATTAGTTCTTGCCATTGCAGCTATCAGAAACTTGCAAGTTCATCAAATGGATGTAAAAACGGCTTTCCTAAATGGGGAGTTGGAAGAAGAAATTTATATGGAGCAACCTGAGGGCTTCATTGCCTCGGGACAAGAGAACAAGGTTTGTAAACTTGTTAAGTCTCTATATGGATTCAAACAAGCTCCTAAACAATGGCATCAAAAGTTTGATCAAGTCATGATGGAAAGTGGCTTTAGAATCAATGAGTGTGATAAGTGTATCTATGTGAAAAACACCACTCATGGTTATGTCATCTTCTGTTTGTATGTCGATGATATGCTTATCATTGGTAGTGATGACAAGATAATAAGATCCACGAAGGATATGTTGAAATCCAGGTTCGACATGAAAGATATGGGTTTAGCAGATGTGATTCTTGGAGTGAAGATCACAAGAACCCAAAGTGGTTTGATTTTAAGTCAAACACACTATGTGGATAAAATTCTTGAAAAATTTGCTAAGGGAGACACTAGCATAGCTAGAACTCCAATTGACACTAGTCAACATCTACGTAAAAATAGAGGTGATAGTGTTAATCAAGTGGAATATTCAAGAATTATTGGCAGTCTGATGTATCTAATGAGTTGTACCAGACCTGACTTAGCATATGCTGTGAGCAGACTAAGTAGATACACTAGTAAACCCAGTTCTGAACACTGGAAGAGTATTACTAGGTTGCTGAGGTATGTGAGATACACGTGAGAATATAGACTGCATTATGGCAGACATCCAGCAGTTATCGAAGGATACACAGTTGCAAATTGGATACCTACCTATCCTATACAGGATTCAACTGTTGAAAGGGTAACTTCTTAAGGGAGGGTTCAAAGGGTAATACCTACCTATCCTATACAGGATTCAACTGTTGAAAAATTCGTTTGGAAATTGGATGTGCATAGATCGATCTCCATTCATGTGGGGGATTGTTGGAAATTTAGTATAAATTTGGACATATATAAATATATACATATGTTGTATATATAACGAACTCTAAGTGGGTTTGTGTTCTCCTCCATGAGGACTTCGAAACGATATATTATATGTCCAAAATAGAGTATAAGTGAATGAGATATCGATACTCAAAGATGGGTATTTGAGAATAAGTTTAGCAAAAGAGAGGAATGTGGGAATGAGTCCCACATTGGTAGAGAGACCAAACTCAACAAGGTTTATAAGCTTCATTGCATGGAAGGCTTACAAGCTTGTGTCTATGGTTATGCTACAATTCCTACCCGCGCGCAGGGGGGGTGCAAATCTTGGTTCCGTAGACCAAAAACACCGAACTCGTGCATGGGCACGACCTGCGGACACGAATGCAGCTCCGAAAACTCGGGCGCGCGCTACCCTCGTTTTTGCTAAACTTAACAGTTTTGGTCCCTATTTTTGAATTCTGTAACGAATGCATTAATTGCGTAATTAATGACATTTATTGCCATTAAACGCTCAATCAATTAGTGATTTGTTTCCGTTTCAAGATTCAACTATAAAAGAAGACCTTGGCCGTCTCATTCAAACACACGGATGAAAATACTCTTCTTCTTCCTCCTTCTCTGTACTCCTGCTTCCGGCGATTCTTTCAGGCAAGTCGTCATATCCGGCAGTACACAATACTGCTAAGGTTGTTGTACCCTGGGAACAGACGGCGAATCTGTTTAAGGGAATCGAGTCCAACTCGAGCCTCAGCCACATCGTTTGCTGCTAATCTTTTCATTACAGGAACCATTCTTAAGAGGAAAACGAAGACCCTATACTAACACAAAACATCATTACAAACGTGTTTTTGGATCTACAAACCAACAATCCCAACTAATTCAACATTCCTATCTCATTTAGATCTACTTCTAATCCAATTATAGGAGAACATTTGGACCTTCAATAAGCTATTACACACAACACCATAGTGGACAATTTTATACTATGTTACTATGTTAGCGCATCAGTAGGAATGACAGTCAAAACTACTTGATTTTATTAACAGGAAAAGTGAATGTCTAACAGCTAGGCCATTACACACAACACCATAATGGACAATTTTTATAGTATGTTAGTGCATGAGTTAAAATGGCACTCAAATTTACTTGATTTTATTAAAAGGAAAAGTGAATGTCCAACACTGTATAAACCATTACACACACCATAGTGGACAATTTTATAGTGTGTTTGCACATCAGTTGAAATGGCACTCAAAATTACTTGATTTTCACAAAAAGAAAAGTGTATGTCCAAAAAAAAATTATTGCCATAGAAGAACATCTGTGAGTTCCAAAAAGAAAAATTAAAGAAAAAAAAATGTTTGACTACTATCTTGCCTTTTGTTAAGCAAAACGCTATATATATATATATATATATATATATATATATATATATATATATATATATATATATATATATTATATATATATATCAGCACAATCCATTTGCAATGATATTCATCCAATAGCACTGTAAACACCGTGATTCACCCAATCAAAGAGAGAATGAAGAGTTTCCGTTTTCTTCTAGTCTTGGTTCTGCTGGCAACAACTTCATTGGAGATGAATGCTCGAACTTGCAAACCAAGTGGTGGTATGTGGGGAAGAGAACCGCCTTCTGGAGAACGTGACGGTGATAACAACTCGGACTGTTGTATCCAAGGTAAGTTTTACACCACATATACATGCTCGCCTCCAGTAACAAGTAATACTAAAGCAACACTGACGATAAACAGTTTCCAAGAGGGAGGTGATGGTGGTGGTCCATCGGAGTGTGACGAGCAATACCACTCTGATGACACACCAGTTGTTGCACTGTCAACTGGATGGTACAAGGGAGGGGATAGGTGCCACAAGTATATTACCATCAATGGAAATGGGAGGAGTGTAAAGGCAATGGTTGTGGATGAGTGTGACTCTACTATGGGGTGCGATGATGATCATGACTATCAACCACCTTGCCCTAATAATATTGTTGACACTTCCAAAGCAGTGTGGAAAGCCTTAGGGGTATCCGAATCCAAAGATAACTGGGGAGAAATGGATATTACTTGGAGAGAGTGATGTATTAATGTCTCCTTTTAAAACATTAAAAATTCTTTTTATGTTTCTTTCTTGAGGACATTGTAATATATAAAGGTATTTATGTAACTATATTGGTGTAAACTAATAAACAGAAACAAAAAAAATGGCTATGGTTTATTATTGAAAGGAAAAGTTAATTACAAAGAAAGGGAAAGGCAATGTAAATACGAAGACTATACATGATTAACAAAGCTAAAAAGCTAAATGCAAGTCAAATACAAAATAGTTGTACAAAATATTCCCAAAATACTAAATATTTTATTACACTAACTTACTCTTTCAAAAAGTTCATTCAATCAAAATATTATTATGACATGCATCCATAGAGAAAATTCACATGTGCTCACCTTAAGAAGCTACGTAGACTAACTTCTATTCGTGCCTTTGATCTTGACCATTTTCGATCCTAATGAATTATTCCATTAAAATAATTCAGCAAGTCATACCTCTATATAAACGGTTAAAATTCTATCTAGCACCTTGGAATTCTTTCTTAAAGTGCGATTATTTTCATATATGTGAACATAATATTGACTTTTCTTAGTTAATAATCCAACTTCCATAGGATTAAAGATCAATCTTTAAGAGCATCCGAGTTTATTTTATAGTTTACTAATATTTGATTTTTCTATTGACCACTTTTTACTATTCCAATACATAGGTGTTTTGTTTTTTTGATTGATTTCTCCATATATTTTGAATGGTCAATATAGTTTCATGCTTGGTACATTTAACCCCTTATTGTTTAACCAAATTTTATTTTACCCCCTTAGTTATATTTTAGTACTAGATATTTGTTATATATTTATTAACTAATTATTTCTATTAAAATATTTAATGACAATTCATTTATGAAATATAAATCTTACATTAGTTATATAACATTTTCAATCCATTTTTATTTTTATAACTATGATTGTATTAATTTTTTCGGATTTTATGTATATAAGATAAAGACTAGACATAGTTATTTTTGTTTATTTATGATATTTTATATATAATACATGTTTAAAAAAACGACTAACTAGATGAGGAAGTTTTATAGAGCATTTTAGATGGATCGTGATACTTTAATTAAAATTTAAAATTAAAAAAAAATAAAAAATAAAATAAAACTATTGGAAGTGATTAACCATGAGAGATGTCATTAATTTAAAGGTTAAAGTTAGTGGAATGATGAGTTGACAAATTTTTTAAGTCATAGAGAGATGTCATTTATTTAACGTTAAAGTTAGTGGAATGATGAGTTGACAAATTTTTTAAGTCATAGCATAGGTTAACCACTGAAGATTCTCTAAAAACGATATAACCTTCACTTGAATAATTCCATAAAACTAATTATCTTTCAATGCTTGTGAAAAATATAGGCATTTTTGCATTTTGATATCTGGCTTCCAAAAATAACATTTCATATCCCACTGCCTAAATTACAATATTCAAATTTAATCAAAACTAAATCTTTAAAATTGTATTAAACATGTTTATTTAGACATGGAACATGTTTAATAAGCCCAGCTCATGAATTTCAAAACTTATTTCTAACAGGCAATTAATTATAGAAAGTCTATGGTTTGTGAAAGACTCTTAAACTCACTAAATATTATCAAATATATGAAAGATAAAATAGATATACCTTTTATTCCAATAAAATGATTTTTTTCAGAGACAAGCTTGTCTCATGGTCGTCAAAAAACTGATAGGTTGTATAGGTTATAATTCAAAGCATGAGGCGAAATAACTTAACCCTTAAGTTCACATGCAACCTATTTGGATCTAAGTTTTCTATGTTGATAGCAATAATCTATGAATATCAAGAACCCTAGCAAACCCTAGGTAATTTTGAAATTACAAGAAGGTTAGGGTTTACATACCTTTTGATTATTATAACAAATAATCAAACCAATTCCTGTAACATCCCAAAAATACATATAAAATTTTGTTTTTAATTTCATTCAAATCCCACGACACTAGTATCAAAATAGTCAAAAGAGTATCATAGTAACATGTTATCAAAGTACAAATTCCCAAAATCTCTAAATGCAGAAACCATATGGTGATGCGGTGTGATCAGGTCGGGCCCTTCCCCTTCGAACTGGAAGTACCTGAAACATAAACTGAAACTGTAAGCACAAAGCTTAGTGAGTTCACCCAAAATACCAAATACTAAATAAACATACTGCCAAGCATATATGGGTGCTTGCATACCCCTTCGGTATATTTCAACCGGATACTATCAAGCATATCTGGGTGCTTGCCTACCCCTTCGGTCTATTTCAACCGGATACTATCAAGCATATATGGGTGCTTGCAATTCCCTTCAGTTTATTTCAACCGGATACCGGGTCTATTTCACCCCCTACTACTACCACATAATATCATAACAGGAATCACAGAGTCATCAAGCAAATACAAGCATAACTGACAATTATCACAAAGACAATCATCACACTACATCATAAACTAGTGGGCCGCCATTGGTGCCTTTAACCCATGGATACTGTGAAGGAAGACTCACCTCAAACTGAAGATATCAAATCGCACTCGGCGGATGAATCGTGAAAACCTCTTCCTAACGCACAAGTATAAAACCCTAATTAGAAATTAGGCCACATTCTAACTTGAAGGTCCAAACCCTAATTCTTGACTTAAGGCAAAAAGGGCTTCTTTACCCTTGCCTCATTGGGCCTCCCTCCCTCCAAGGCCCAAATCCATACAAAGTCCAAAAAGCCATCCAAACCCAACTATAAGGCCTTTAAGACCCAATATGGACCAAGAATAACTAACATGGCCTTAGGCCTAAAAATGTCTTGTTACAATAGGTGGGCTTGATGCCCAACCTAAACAAGTCTAAAAGCCCAACACTAATCGAGCCCAAAAACCATCTAAGCCCACAGACTGCGTATGCGCGACATACACGGCTCGTACGCCCAACGTACACTGATGCCCATCCGGAATCGGGACACTGACCCAGTACGTGCAGTGTACTGGCCAGTCAGTCCATTCTCATTCCCATGTCTTAATCCATTCAGCCTTTACGTCCAAAACTTAGATCCAAGCTCAAAATAACGTCTTAAGCCATAAAGTTGCAAACTTTATGCTTTTGCATGTATGGATGGGGCTCAAACCATGAATTAAGTCCATTAACTCACTTATATGGTTACTAACACTTGCATGGTTAAGTCTTAACCACCAAGATCCGATTTTTATGACTCAAAACACTTCCTAGAGTCCAAAAGGACAGCTCAAATGGCCTGGAGTTGCTCATACTCCAAGAAACCAAGCTATAGGACCAAAAGATGCCATATTATACCCTAAACCTAGATCTAAGCTTGCAATGATCAAGGTTAAAACTTTATACCTTCAGTAGGCTAGAAATAGTCCACAAACTCTGGATCTACAAGCTCCTTCTTCTCCTTTGCTTCTTCCCAAACCTCCTTCTTCTTCAAAACCACCAAAGAACACCAAAACACTCAAGGTAATCTCAAAGATGCACTCAACAAGGCTAGGGTTCAAGATTGACACTAAAAAGGAAGTGGAGACTGAGAGGGTAAAGGATTTGAGGGACTTAAGGTCTTTAAATAAGGTGTAAACCCTAAAAATTAGGGTTTGCCCTTGGTGTAACATCTCGGGTTTCAGGTATTTTCAAATCCTTCCTTTGGTTTTTAAATATGTCATTTTGGGGTCCTATGTAGCCCTAAGAAGCCCTGGTGGCAAAATGGTAATTTTGGGAGCAGAAGTAGTACGATGGGCGTACATGTGAGTACGTTAAGTGTACTAGGGCGCGCCCTAGTACGCAGGTGTACACATATGTATGTTGGGCGTACTAATGTCCGGGTGAAACCCTAATTTTTAGTGTTTGAGGAGTATTTAAACACCTTTATGGATCATTTAGCCTCATCCTTTCAGCCTCCAAGCCCTTGAGTCATTTTTAGCAAACCCTAGCCCCATAAGAGAGTGTTTTGACCATAAAGTGTGTTATTTGTGTGCTTAAAGGAGAAGGAAGTGCATCAAGGAGTCTAGAAAGGAAAGCAAGCTTATGGATCTTGGATCATCATCTTCTTGGGAAGCTCCAGAAGGTAAAAAGTTGCTACCTTTATGCTTGGTTTGCTTAGATCTTATCTTGGTAGCTTTATGATGTTCTTTTTTCCCAAAAAGCCACATTGTTGTGCATGTTTGGTGTTGGACGTTTTGGGCTGTCCTTTCAGACCCTAGAAAGGGTTCTAAGCCATAAAAATGAGGTCCCTTTAGCTAGTTTGCTTCATGCTTCTTATGGAAGGTCTTAATGGATTAATGCCATGTATTAAGGACTTTTTGGACGTCTAAAGTCATAAAGTTGGAGACTTTATGACTCTAAGGTGTATTTGGATCATGGATCTGAAGTTTGGGCTTAAGTGCTTAAGTCATTAAGCATTTATTGAGGTTTTGGACTCTTCAAGGGTACGCCCCGCATAGGAGGGAGTACGCCCCGCGTACCTGGTCAACGTCTCCATTTTTCAGTCAATTCGAAGCTTCTGTACGTCGCGCGTACCTCCGGAGTACGCCCCGTGTACTCGCATGGTTCATCCGTTTGTGAGTTAACTCGGTTGGGTTGAATCGGTTGGGTTGACCCGGCTGGGTTGACTCAGTGGGTTTATGGATTTTGACAAGTTGACCTTGAGTTGGCCAAGTTTGACTTTTAAGGGTATTTTGGGTATTATTGGATTTTGATGGAATTGGTCACATGGTGGTTGTAGGCATTTGAGTTGTGAGCTGAGATTCGGAGTCAGACCTTATCAGTTTTGTGCTACTTGTGAGGTGAGTTTTTCTCACTGTACTTGTGGGTCGAAAGCACCAATGTCGGCCCTTGGATTGATATCCTATTGTGCATGTTATGCTATAGTGATTTGGTAGATCAGTATCCTGGTACTTAGGATGATGTTGTGCTTTGTGATCTGTAAGATCTGTTTATTTGTTTGCTAGCTGGTTATCTATATTATGTG